CACGACGCTGGTATGTGCCTGATCGAAAACGAATCCCGCTTGGCATTCACGCCTTCCCATACACGTGCGCAATGACAAGAAGACTTGGAAGAGAGACAGCAATCCACACCAAACCAGATGATGAGAATACACAGCCGAAGCTCAAAGCCCATTCATAGAATTGAATTGAATTCAATTCGTATTACAACGCCTCTCTCCAACCCAACCAGGTTATCAACATCCACGGACCGACTATTTGCAAAGTTCCGTTGAAGTATCCGGGAGTCTTCTGCTTCCTCCCTCCTGTTCAAGCTCTAGCTATGGCGCCCCAGCGCCCAACCCATCAGCCTGCAATTCGTCAGAACACCCTAGACGACTCCAGCGCCCAGTCAGCCACCACACCCAACCCATTGTGCTGCAGGTAACGCTCAGCCGGCAGGGAGCTCGAGCTCCCAAGAGGAAGAAGAAGGGCGTCCACTTCAATGACAATGAAGACCACTGCCACTTCACAGAAGGTAAGTCAAAGCTGCTTCGATGGCAGCTATCAAACCCCAATTCCACACGATGGAGGAACCTCTCTTACAGCGCATGGGGCTTGATGCCCTGCGCTGCCACCTATGATGCGGGAAGGCCCCAGCGATGGCCGCCAGCCAACCACCATGAAGAGCTGTGTTGCTTGGGAAAGTAACGCAGCTGCCGAAGAGCACTCCTCCCTTTTCCACTTCCCCAAGTGACAAGAAAACATAGCGAGCCAAAAGCCCGCACAACTTTGCCCTCGAGCCTTTAGTAGATTCTACGACAGACCCAACAGCCTAGGAGCTACCATGACTGCTGTCACCTCTACGACGCACCGACCAGCAGCAGCTAGTCTACAACGCTTATGTTCCTAGGTGGCCAAAAGGACAGACAACACCTAAAAGGAAAACAAAAGTAACTGCTTGGTGCTATACAAAGAACTCAACCCTGATAGGAGACAGGGCTAGGGATCAATTCCTGGAAGATTCAAAACAAGTGAAAGATGTCAAACGAAGGGCCAGGTATCAAATCCCATATAAACCAAAATGCAGAAAAACAAATAAACAGCAAGGCCAGGGATCGATTCCTCGCGGGAACAAAATCAAAACAAACATACAAAACTACTGTCTTCACCCGAATAGAATTCCCGGTCATTATAGCTGTATTCGGCACAACTTTCAGCCTGGATATGGCGATAATTACCGGGCATTCTATTCGGGTGAAGACGGTAAGGAGTTAGTTTACAGCCCGCTAAATCTGCAAGTTCATTGCAATGCCCTCTCTCTGCAATCGCCACCACTCCTTAAGGCACTGCCGTCCCCTCCTCCCCCACCCCCCACCCCCAATCCAAAACCAGACACGTGATTGTTGTACGCTTACAACCTTTATAGAAACCTCATCAATCTCAGGATTGTCAACTGATGGCAGCAAAAATTTCTCCGACTGGAAATCACTCATTATAGGAGAAATGATGGCGCTTCTCTTCTCTATGCTTCTCTCCACTACACTCCATTCCACTCCACACTATTCCACTCTACTCTACTCTACTCTACTCTACTCTACTCCACTCTACTCCCCTCCACTGCACTCTGCTCTACTCCACTCTGCTCCACTCCACTCTTCTACACCTCACTCGACTCCACTCCACTCTTCTACACCTCACTCGACTCCAGTCCACTCTGCTCCAGTCCACTCTCCTCCACTCCATTCCACTCCACTCTACTCTACTCCACGCTACTCCACTCTACTCTACTCTACTCCACTCCACTCCACTCTACTCCACTCCACTCCTACTCTACTCTACTCCACTCCACTCCACTCCACTCCACTCTACTC